TTGTAAAGAAACTGTTTGGCACAGATAACCTACCCTTCCTAATCACACCCTTAATGATTCAGTCTCTCATTAGCGGTGTTTATCGTCTCCTGAGATAAGAAATTACAACAAGGAGGGAGCAGAGAGTTTACTAGGAAGGGAGGTAAGGTCGGGATGGAAATTAAAGGCTGTAAGGTTAAAGAATAAACTAACTTTTATGGGCTTTAAGGGGCCAAAACAGACTGTGTTTAAGAATAAATCAGCTGGAGTGTGCCGTAAATGCTGCTGCTGATATTTCTATCCTGCTCTGTGACCCGGACTTCTAGCAGTTTCCCTTTGTAATCTCCCTCTCCTCCTCTTTCTTTTACTGACCTGCAAAAGGGCAAATTAAAAACGTCAGTATTTATTTTGCATACTTTTCTTCCTGTCCTTGACAATGACCTTACTGCCATTTATTCGTCTCTTCTGACAGCTTCTGCACGCCAGTTGGCACTTTAGTTTATTGAAGAAGTCATGTGATCCAGTCATTACGGCTCTGCCTGTGCAGCTCAGCAGTAAAATTCACTCTTACAGAATAAGAAAGTTAATTCAAGCTCACTGACATTCAAAGTCTTAATTTGAAACGTTATTGTTCGCCTTCAGTCTACGGCCTCACTGTGCTGTAAAACACTTTGGCCTCTGGTTTTATCCTGGCTGATCACGCTGGCTAATAAACAGCGATTGTGTGAAGTTTCACCCGTTTTCTCCAGAAGTCGTGAGCTGAGTTACGGCGGTGACAGCTGAGTGAGGACATGGAGGAATGAGGGGGGAGTGGCTCCAAAAGGATGAGATGAAAGATAAACGTGGAATCTAAAGTTCAGCAAACCCCGTTCTGAACAGTGAAAACTCAAACCTGAACGTGTTTTCCCAGAGGCTGCTGACACAGAGTAGACGGTCAACGCAGAGCAAGTTTCTGTTCTTTTACACAATTATTTAGGAGCAATTCGGTCAAAACTGGGAGTGTTTACTCATAAAGTTGAATCTGCTTGTTTGATCAGCTGTTGGGATTCCTGAAAGAGCCTCGCTTTAACCAGACGCTGCTACCATCAGAGATGAGAGGATCGGTTTCACACAAAGACCAAACAGGACACCGTGTTTCTTTTTACTGTCGTTTTATTTAGTCTCATGCATGTTGAGCTTAAAGCCTTTAATAATGCTTGATTAAAATACTGAAACACATTCAGTTATTAAACCTGTTTTTTTGCATAGACTAGCTGCACAAAACAAAGTTGCAGGAAAACAGGAATATTTTCTACTTTAAAGGGATACTTTGCAACTTTCTCGTATTTTTTACTCCCTTTGTTGAGCCAGTATGCGCTAAAAATGATCCTTTTTCAGACCCCCACTGCCCTCTCTGGCCAGAATAACGCATTTGCAACTTCAGAGTTGCCGGTCTAGTCTGTAGGACGTTTAAAAAAAATTGGGCTGACATAGCTGGCGCTGCAGTCTGCTTCCAGCACGTTTCCTGCATGTTTTAGATCACAAACACAGCTTATTTGTTTCATTTAGTGAGGAATCACTCCTGTAGACAATAATGAAGGCTGGGGAGACATTTCAGCTGTCAGATTAAGGTGTTTAAAAGAAGAACACACAACAAGGAGATAAGTTTTGCTTTTGGTTGTACTAAACAGACACTAGGGGGTGCTAAAAGCAAGCCAAAACTGCCTTGAACATCATTTTTTGTGACTGGTTTTAAATATGTTGTCATGTGTGGTAGACACACTATTGTAACTTGTGACGGTTGTGCAACTATCAAACAAACTACAGGATGTTGTTGCAATTTCTGTAAGCGTCTAACATTTTTGCAGTTTATCGTTATTTTATGTGCACTTTGTTTGCCAACTCATCCCAACGTGTCTCACGTGTCTTGCATATTGTGGCTCATAGAAACTAAATCAAGAAGCAACGGAGAAGGGTTGGAGACGAGATCTTCATGCAAGGACTTTTGAGAGAATGTTCGATTTGCAAACTTCTTGTTTGACAGAACGGCAACTTCGTGGAACTCTTGCAAGGAAATCGAGAAACCTTGCAACTATTTTGAGACCATTTGAAAACTTCTTTTTAGGTCTGTCATGTGTTCAGTGCCTATTTCAGAGTTGCACCTCATTTACTTTTAATAAAGAGGAATGCAAACATAATTCTGGAATAATTCCAGGTTGGACGGAGCATTCCTGTGCAGAAAAAAGTCGGATATCCACCACAGGGATGTGGTTTTATTTGCTTTATTTTCATCTGCTAGTTTCTCAGCAGAGAGGGTTTGTGGAAACTCACTCATTCATGCATCTAAATGTGAAAGAGATGACAGTCATTTATGCACTGAGGGAATGAGAATGAGACAAATGGAAAACACCTCCATCGGGAACATTTTGGTTTCTAGAAGCCTGAAATTGCAGCTTGTGTTTCTTCTGTTGAACTTTGACTTACGCGCTCATGTTGACTCTGACTGCATGGCGCTCTTTACTTTTTGCTTAGAGGCACATCAATTTTCCCTCCCACTCAGTCTCCATAAACTACAGACAGAATGGCAGGAGGCAACAAAGCTTCAGTCCCATCTCCAACAAGCGGGGTGGAAAAATGCTTTTTGACTTTAAGCATCTTCCCAAACCTCTTCAAAGACTGCATTGCTGTTCCCTCCGTCTCTGTATTTATCTAGCTTTTTACTTTTGAATTTTAGTTGTTTTTTTTCCTTCAACGTTCTTTTTGTATCTTCAGACATTTGAAACTGTCTCGTAGCGCTCGGCATCTCTGCAGCTGTTATAAATTACTGTCACTACCTCACATTTGAATCTTTCCGCTGAGAAGTCGGTGGAGTTGCTGTTCTAGTTGTAGGAAATGTGAGAGAGAGAGAGGCACTTTGAACTTTCTAGGTAAAACCATGCGAGTGTGTTTTAGCTGTTCAAATCATTTTTATATGATTTTTCTGCAAATAATCTACATAATGTTTATTCAGTAATAGGTCTGTGTGGAGGTTTCTGCTATAAGCGTCAACGCTAAAGGCTTAGATGGCAACCAGCGTCGGCACCTTTTGCATGAACTTGACCAAATGGAGAAAAGTGACATTAAATAATATATTCTTAAAGCTGGGGAACAGACATGTTTGAAGAGTTTTCAGAAATGCTTAAATGTGACTCTCTGCCTGTTCTAGGATAGAAACTCAGTAATCGCTCATCATTTACAGTCCCTCCCCTCTCCTCTACAGCAAAGCTAATCATTTACGCGAGCCTAGCGCGTTGACCAATAGAAACGTGTGTCCACAAGAGGGAGCTGTAAGTCAACAAGAATGCAACCTGGTTCCCAGCATGCACTACACAGTGATGTCAGAAGTTTGCCACTGATCAACTAATCCAGTGCAGTGACCTAGTGGTATGAGTGTCCGCTCTAATGGTGCATTCTATTTACCTCGTGAGTCGGAATTCGGAAATGACGTCACACTCGAGTTAGCCGCGTTCAGGTTGCCAAAGTCGGACAAGTCGAGATTCCAATATGGCGGCGCTCTGGAAACCCTCTGTTTTGTTACGTCTAATAAACACACATGAAGCTCATCAGGAATACGTGGAGAGAAGCTTTTAGCTGCCAGCGCTACGTGTGACATCAGTTTTAAACGAACGCTTATAGGTGTGTCTGGTACAAATAAACACACTTCAGCCAAAACTTGCTGCTGTTGACGGAGGGCTGTCGTTTGGGATTCAAGGTTGAAGTTCAGAGTTTCCGACTGGGAAGTCTGATTTTGGTGTGTTTCATTTGGTTTTTCCTACTCGGAAGTCGGGATTTTGAAGTTCTGGGGACAAATCAAACGCACCATAAGAATGGGAGATTGTGGGCGGAGCTATAGCCCTTCAAATGACATCATGCTACCCCACCTGTACCAGAAAGTTTAATAATATTCTTGTCAGAGACTCTGAGACGTCATGCAGACATTACTATTGACTCTGTGCTGTTTCCATTACACACACGTTCTTAACAATTGCAGTAATGTCAGTAATCTGTCTCTAATTTCACGGTTGGATATAATAGCTTGCCCTCAGCTGGGCCCTCAGCTGGGCCCTCAGCTGGGCCTGGAGGGAGCTCAGAGGAGTTTGATGCAACTCTACAAGGAGAACTGAAGGATAGTGCAGGGCTGTTGTCCCCAGTCATTAGGCTGCCTTTAACCCCCGCTCACTCTCATCACCCCCAGCTGTCTCACAGAGGTCTCCCCTCCCAGTCCACGAGGTCCCTCTCTCTCCTGTTGGGTTGCTTTAGTCTCGTCTCTCTTCCTGCATGCTGGCTAGCGCCGCCGTCTGCTGGTTTTTCTGTCTCCGTCTCACTGCTCTTCCTTTTCCCGCCCCTTCCTGACCCTTTCAGTGTGTGCCACTGATGAATGATGGGTCTGCTCCGTCCCCAGGCCCCTTCAGCTCCAATAAGAAAAAGTATATACTCATATTACATTCAGGCCCATGGGACCTCTCTGTCCAGAGATCCAAGAATAAAGGAAGGAGTGGGATAGAAAAGCATGTGAATGGTGTTAATTTAAAGGAGCACAGCTGTAAATAAGTCAGGATGAATGCGAGTAGAGGAAGGAAGTAACAGCATGAGGAAAAGAGAAGGAAGCATGAGAAGATCAAGGGTGAAGAACAAGTCACAGAATGCAAAATGACCTTGAGTACACAGATTGAGGCTGGGCGTTGTCCTTTTGTTTACTCATCACCTCCCGGATCAACACGAGGCTCCGCATATCTCTGTGAATAGTTCAGTCGTGCATAGAGTTGGATTTTAGATGTTCAGTTTAAAAACACAAAGTTTTGAGGTACGTTGAAATGCAGATATCTTCAGGGTTTGGCCACCTTTTCTCTACTTCTGGTTTAGCTCTGGGCATCACATAAGAAATGAAACATAAATATATAATAATAATAGTTCCAAATTTCTCATCAAATTCTGGACAAAAGGGGGATTTGCACGTTTATTAAACTCCTTCTGATTGAGTCCTTTTGTGTCTCCTGGTCTAGTGTGAAGATGGTGCTGCTCTGGATGGCCGGAGACGTCTTCAAGACTTCCTACTTTGTAATGAATGAAAGCCCGGCTCAGTTCTGGGTGTGTGGTTCAGTCCAAATCCTGATTGATGTGGCCATCCTGCTGCAGGTGCTGCTTTACAACCAAGACACTCGAGCCAAGCTTGGATAAATGCTGCCGTTGTTAGAACATCAGAGTGGTGCAGCTTCTGCTAACGCCATGGATACGATCTGCTGCAGCTGGGTGCACCCTGCCACCTCTATTTCTTAGTTTGATGAAAACAAAGTTGACTTCTGGCGACATCGAGTCATAAATAATCTACACAAAGTTCTTAGCTTCTTCTGATCAAGCTAAGACAACCGGATCCGCTGACGTCGCTAGGTCTGTTTTAGGGGGGCTGAAGCCCCCGTACAATATTCACCCCCCCATTATTTTGGTTATCTTATTTTATTTTTTTATTTGTTCACATCTACATGCTCAACACAATCATGACACACGTGTAGCTGGTACATGAGTTTTTTAGTCTGAAACAGAAATAATAATGAATGAATATAGAACTACACCGTCGCACACAGGAAGTATCAAGAAAGGACTTCCTCCACTTCCTTAACCCTGACAGCTATGCTGACAAGTCAGGGGGCGGGGCGATACAGCAAGACCTATATATGATGAGCAAACCCTGCTCAGCGCTTGTGTGCAGGAGCTGCAGCCCTCTGTGGGCTCAACTCTGTCTCTGCACATGCAAATCTCTCCCTGCTCTCCTCAACAAGTAGCCTCTCCACCAGTCAATCACAGACAGCTCTGTTTTATCCAATCAAAGCATGTCCAGGAAACACTGCTTTACAGAAAAACACCCATTTAACAGCTTATTGAACTGCTTTCTGCTGCTGGTTAGCTACCAGTCACCATCCACTGCCTGCAAAATACTTTGTTGTAATTCATGTGTCATGATTAGGGTGACCATATTTGACTTCCAGAAAAGACACATTGCCCATTCCTAAAACTGTTAAATTGCACTATTTTCAGTTAAAGAGGACTTTTAATTTCAACATATAAAGTGTTTCTTCTCTGTTTGGTCAGACATAAATGATCCCTTGATGTGTAAAAGGAAGTGAACAGTGGAAATGTCCCAGGAAAAGAGGAGGGTTAATCAACCTAATTAAATATAATTATATAAAGTCCTCTTTATCTGAAAAAGTGCAATTTTCCTGGCAGTATTTCCCGGACATGCTTTGATTGAATAATGGAGAGCTGTCTGATTGGCTGACGGAGAGGCTACATTGCTTTGTAAATTGCAAGTTGAGCAACAGCAGGGAGATTTGTGCAGGCAGAGACGGAGGTGAGCATGCAGAGAGAGGGCTGCACACGACTGCAGAGCAGGTTGTGCTCTTGCAGATTGATCACTGCACGCTCCAGTTGGTGGCACAAAAATCACTCCACACTATAAACCTGAATCAGAATATGTGTATATTATTGACCATTTTTCTATATTATACATTTTTTATATAATATATATAGTATTATAGGTACATATATGTGTCTATAATATAGTAAACAGCCAGTTTTATATATGTCACATATATTCAAAAGCTATATCAAAACATATATTCAAACCTATATGTTTATATGAATTCTTTCCATGTGGGTTGTCAGTTGCTTAATATTTGTTTACTTATGGCAAAGAAAGGAGATATTGTACTCGTCTATCTTTAACATACATTTTGGCAGCTTAATGTGACGTTATGGACAATGCCATCATCATGAGCAACCAAACATAGGCTATATTAGGCTAACAGTTGTCCATTTTCTGTACCATTTATCCACCAATGGCTGTTTCAGTTATTGTGAGTGAAAACTAAATGGCGTAGTAGCATTTGTTCTGGCATTAGAAATTGAAAATGTTTTCATTGTGTTGGCTAGATGGATAAACGAAGATTTCTTAAGAGAGTGAGTGAGGAACAGGAGAGAGACCCGGTGGTTGATGCTGAGGAGATCTGCATGGTCGAGGTCAGTGATCTACAGAGAAAACAGGGGCGAGTGCACCGTTATGAAAGAGGTGTAGTGCAATGCTTTCCTAAATTTGACTAAACGATGCAAATGCCACTCATAAGCTGAATCACAACCATAGGAAAAGGTTTTCAGCTGAACTTTGACCTTTGCAACAGGACAATGTAACTAATGTAACAACTATTGTTAGATGTGTGTGCATTTATTTAACATCATCCAGCAATCTTCGAGGATACGACACAACTTTAACTTCAGTGTTTCCTCATGTAGTTTTCGATAAAAAGCAGAGAGAAAATGCACGAAGGTAGGAAAGGAAAAGAAAGTGATAAAATAACAGCTTTTGGTAAATATTCTTCAAATAATGGATTCATTGACTACGTTTTTGCAGAGTTTGACATAAAATTTTCAAGGTCAAGCTCCTGGGGCTAAGCCCCCCCCCATCTCTCAATCCTAGTGACGTCCATGACCCGATCGTTCTGCAGAACCAGATAAAACAGTATTTATGTGCATTTTTACTTGTTTTTCTATTATTTATTTGCTCTCCACTCTTGAGTTACTTGTATCTGCAGCTTTCTAAGAGCAGATCTCTGCTGGTGTGAGAGCAACCAGAGCACCCAGTACTGCACCAGTACAGCTCCACAGGACTATTTCACAACCGTCACTCCTCTGGACTCTCCTTGTTAGGTGTGTGCGTGTGTGTGTGTGTGTGTGTGTGTGTGTGCGTGCGTGTGCGTGCGTCTGGGACGTAATTTTGGGGGGGGACGGGTGGGACATGTCCCCCCCACTTTTTCAAAAGGCAGTTTTGGTCCCCTGCACTTTTTTCCGTCCAAAAACAATGTTACGCTCCATTAAATGGATTTGGTTGAGCACTAGGACCGAAACGGAAACCGGTTTCCTATTAGACCCGCCCAAAAGCTAATCTATTGGCTCTGCTGATACTTGCTAACGTATTATTGGCTGTTGCTGCTGTCACTCAAGTTGGAAACAGTCAGAACGTGCTCACGTTGTTTTGCTAGTTTGGAGCCGCTAGGGAACACCGGTACTGAGTCACATCGTCAACTAGACGCTGTGTAATATCAGAGCTCAGCTCAGCTTCCATTACATAACATTTGAATAAGTGTTCATTTGTGAGTCTTTGGTAGTTAGGCACAGCCAGGAGGCAGCATGTCAAGAAAACGAAAAGTGGATATAAGAGACTTCTTTCAAAGTCAAAACGTAAGTTGGACATGTGACACCCCTGCATTAAGCTCAGACTCACCTCCTCCTTCACAAACATACTCAAAACTAACTTTTACAAACTCATCTCCTCCACATAACTGACTCCTCAGACACAAGTTATTCGTATTATTATAATTATTATTTTTTTATTATTACTATTATCATCATAATTATTATTACTAGTAGTAGTAGAAGTGTAACTTCAAAACTTTTATCATTTAACTTTATTGTAAACTTATCTATTGCAATGCATATTTTCACATTAAAAAGCTCTGAAAAATGAACAGTATCATCATCGTCAACAGATTTTTTTAAGCTTAATGTCAAAGATGTACACTTTTCATTAGATTTATCTTATTTTTTCCATTTTTTTTTGTGTGTTGAAATGCAACAACTGTTTAAACACTTTTAAGGGGAAAAACATATTTAATATGTTTTTATACACTCAAATGTTAGGGTGATGATCATGTGTAAAACATTAGTTCAGCATGTCCTCTAACACAGCAAATGAACAAACGGCCAGATCTCAGGAGGGACCGTTTATGTATAAATAATTTTTATACTTTTGACTAGGCCTGGGAAAGTAACAAATTTTGCTGGACGATATTTTGTCCAACAAATTGTTGATGATAAACGATATCATTGTCAACATTATCTAGACCAAAATAACCACTAATATAATGTTAATATATCATAATAATGCAAGTACACCCTTTAAAATGCAACAAATAAACCTTCATTTAACATTGAAATGTCCAGAACCAGAACTTCTAAATGAATAAAAATAACAAACAAAAATTAAATAAAAAAGGAATCTCACTCCCTGTTAGAAAATGTTGCACCAAAAACAATAAAAAAAAAGACCCAAAACAATAAATACGATGGCCTATCCGTTGTCAACAGCCAAAACTGCACTTCAATAAGGATGGAAAAATTATTGAGATGGGCACGTGACGTGTCAAGGGGTCTTTACATAACACCCCCCACCCCAAATCCGCACAAGCCTGCTGTGTCCCCCCCACTTCTGAAATCAAAATTTCGTCCCTGGCGTGCGTGCTTGTCTGACATGTTGGTGCTTCTGTAGTAGAAATAGATTTTTGCCGCTGGCGTCCGTAGCTGGTCCGAGGCTGCGGGATGTGCATCCATCTTGTTGTTATGACGCTCCTTTGTGGTTCTTTAACAAGCAGTGTGGATCATAATGAAACTAGAGAAGAAAAGATCATCGGTAAACATCTTTGGGCAATTTAAAAAATATGTTATTTTTCCACCAAACAGCCGAATGCCTCCAGTCTGTAGACGATTCTTATTTCTAATGTAAGAAAACTACTGAATATTTGGGTTTTTTATTTATTTATTTATTTTGCTTGTTTGTTTGTTTGTTTTTGTATTTTTACTGTTACACACCAGCAGACCTGCTGCTCTTTTTGGTCATTTGTTTATTTGTTTTACATCATTTTTTTTATTGAACACTAATTGCTGCCGCTCATCCATCTGGGCGTGGCGTGAAAAGCATTTTTTTATTATTATTTTTTATTAATTAAAGATCTTGGTTTAGTTCAACATTAATCAATAATAATTTCACAGCCCAACACAAAAATAGCTTTTTGAACAGCAAAAAAACCAAATTATACATAAAGTTGTACTAAACCGTACGCGCCTTACTTGTAAAGTGCAAAAAAAAAAACTTACTCAGATTACATTACAATTCAAAAAATACTTTTTATGCAACAAACTGATCCTCGTCAGTTTCTATTTATGATGCTCAAATACACTTTGTACTGCTGTAGATCCTTAAGGCTGCACTTACTTTACCTGATGTGTCTGAAGAGGTTATTGCACGTATCAGGCTTCCAGAATTCAAAGATCCAGAAGAGTTTTCCTCTGAAGAGAAGAAGTCTGGAAAACACACCGTAGAGGAGTAAACAGCAGGTTGTGTTAAATGGATCTACTTAACCCTTTTATTTCTGTGCCTGGCTGGAGTTTGGGTTCCTGCCCAGATCAACAACATGGATCATTTCCACAATAAAGTCTAATCAGCTGAAAAACTGTTGAAACTTTGAGATGAGCTGAATGCCACAAACATCGTATTCCAGCAAGAAGCTAGTCCTTAATGCAAGTAATCCACTTCCTGCAGAGGACAGGATACCAAGACCGGACTGGCTTTAGTCTAAGATTCAGTAAACACATTTAGAACGTCACAAAGCTTCTTACAAACATGTTTTTTTACCACCAAAGCGTTCCCAAACAGCCTTCTAGATCAGCTCTAATTGGTTTTTTTAACGTGGAAAATCTCTGTAATAAAACTTGAAGGCTTCTTCGTTCACGCTTGGTTGAACAGAGAGGATCTTATGTAATCCTCCGACACCATGCTTACTTCCACTGGCGAACGGCCTTTTAGAAGCAGCAGAGCTTAGAAACTCGGACGTTAACTCAAGCGAGGTTATTTGCTTGGATCGTGTTACCCTCCCCTTAACTCAGCCTGCCATGTTTACCGTGTAATTAATTCTGTTTTACTCTCCCCGGGTGATTACGGGTGTTATTTTTGCCCCATGGCCTCGTGGGAACGACTCTGCTGATCGCTAAAACTTTATTCGGTGGTTGACGTAATTTATTCAGAAGCTGAACTTCTAATTGAAGCTTTTGTTTAACGAGCCTTCAGAAAAGTTGTGCTTCTTTCACTGGTTTTGTTGTTGGAGTCGCTGACTCGTCTGCAGCGTGAGACTAATCAGATCCGGGATCTGGTCAGTAGTCTTGATGCATGGAGATTCGGATGCTTTTGTGTTTATCCGTTATGTTTGTCACCTTAGTAACTCAGGAGTTTTCCTTACTTTCTGTGAGTCTTCATACTCACTGTGCTGGTTTTGCATCTTGCACGCTGTTTGCCAAAAGAACATATTTGGAGATGATTTAAAAGAGTTAAATGAAGATTTTCTCAGGTTGTGTGTGCTCATAATTCATCTTAAGTGTGAATGTGTGCAGATCTGAGCCACAGGTACGGTGTTTTATGGTGGCAGCTATCAAAAATTTGTGTCCATCAATAAAAGTTGTGCTGTCGTAAATGTGAATCTGAGAAACTTGGCAGGTTGTTTTATTGTGAGTATGAGTCTAAAAGCCGGGAATGCAAACTCATGCTTTGAAGAAGATCTTTTATACAGCGCCTCTCAAGATGAAAACCACGAGGCGCTTCACAAAAACAAAAACATTTATGTATAAAAAGATTTTAAAAATGATTAAAAATATGTTTAAAGGGAGAAAAGAACAAATGTAAGGGAAGGGAAAGAGGGAAATGAGTGGATCCCGAGAACAAGGAGAGAGAGGTGACGAAGGTCTTGCCAAACCTGAACAGGTGAGTTTAAAGGAGATCACTGAGTCCACTGATCTCCGTGAAGCTACCTGCTCAGGTAAGCATCACAAGCAACGTTAACCACACACGTGTGCTGTGTCGTTGCTACTCTGGTTAGCCCAACAACCACAAGTTGATTAAAATAGTACAATTTTTAAAATAAGTTTCAGGTACTGTTGTTGTTGTCGACTTTACATGTGATGCGTCACCTGAGCTGGGTCACCTGAGCTGGTAACTCACAACCAGCCATCTTTGAATCGGTTGCGTCTGTGTTAGTCTTCCTTTGGCCTAATTTCAGCTTTTGTCTTCTCTCACAAACCTGCAGAGAAACTTCAGGCATAGAAATGCAAGATGTTGCACTCGCAGCTTTTCGAGTCACTAACCTGCACACGTTTTCAGATTCTCATTCATGACAGCAGAAAATTTCATAAAACACTCTAACCTCTATACCCTTGCACGGGTGATGGAGGGGGCATGGGAGTTTGCCCAACCAATCCATGTTTGTGGATTTGGAGAAGGCTTATGACCGTGTCCCCAGGGGCACCCTGTGGGGGGCGCTCCAGGAGTATGGGGTGGGTGACTTTCTGTTAAGAGCCATTCAGTCCCTTTACCAGAGGAGCGTGAGTTTGGTCCGCATAGCCGGTAGTAAGTCGGACCTGTTCCCGGTGAGGGTTGGACTCCGCCAGGGCTGCCCTTTGTCACCGGTTCTGTTCATTACCTTTATGGACAGAATTTCTAGGCGCAGCCGTGGTGTGGAGTGTGTCGAGTTTGGTGGCAGGAGAATCTCGTCTCTGCTTTTTGCGGATGATGTGGTCCTCCTAGCTTCATCCAGCTCTGACCTTCAGCTCTTGCTGGGTAGGTTCGCGGCCGAATGTGAAGCGGCTGGGATGAGGATCAGCACCTCCAAATCTGAGACCATGGTTCTCGACCGGAAAAGGGTGGCTTGCCACCTCCGGGTCGGGGGAGAGGTCCTACCTCAAGTGGAGGAGTTTAAGTATCTCGGGGTCTTGTTCACGAGTGAGGGTAGGAGGGATCGGGAGATCGACAGGCGGATTGGTTCGGCGTCTGCAGTGATGCGGACGCTGAGCCGATCTGTCGTGGGGAAGAGGGAGCTGAGCCAGAAAGCCAGGCTCTCGATTTACCGGTCGATCTACGTCCCAATCCTCACCTATGGTCATGAGCTTTGGGTAATGACCGAAAGAACGAGATCGCGGATACAAGCGGCCGAAATGAGTTTCCTCCGTAGGGTGGCCGGGCTCAGCCTTAGAGATAGGGTGAGGAGCTCGGACATTCTGGAGGGACTCGGAGTAGAACCGCTGCTCCTCCGGATCGAAAGGAGCCAGTTGAGGTGGTTTGGGCATCTGGTCAGGATGCCTCCTGGACGTCTCCCTGGGGAGGTGTTTCGGGCATGTCCTGCCGGCAGAAGGCCCCCGGGTCGACCCAGGACACGTTGGAGAGGTTACATCTCCAATCTGGTCCGGGAACGCCTTGGGGTCCTGCCGGAGGAGCTGGTGGACAAGGCCGGGGAGAGGACGGTCTGGAGCTCCCTAGTTGGGATGCTGCCCCCGCGACCCGGACCCGGATAAGCGGAGGAAGACGACGACTCTAATCTTAACACACCTGTCTGACCTGTCGCACACACATTGTGATCAGTGTTCTTGTATTTTCTACATCCGTATCACCCCCTCCCCATCAGAGGCTCAGACCAGCTCCTTCCTGGGATTTAGTCGGGTGACCTGTTCTCCTCGGGCGGCAGGAGATGTTATCAGACTTTTAGCTCTGTTGTGCTAATCTCTGTGTTAAAGTTCCCGTTAGAAATAAATGTTTTTATTTTCATACTGATGACTCCTTCCAGGTGCTGTGATTACAAAAGTAGAAGCCAAAGGGGAAAAAGTGAATTTTATTAACAAGTCAACGCTCCTTTTTCTAAGATGTATTTTAGAGTAAATTTTATTGCAAATATCGTCTTTTATTGTCTTGTGAATTGCACCAGAACTGGTCGAGCATCTCAGTAACGTCACATGTTTTCCCACACATAAACGATTTACATCTGTGTGCAGAGCCGTGTTTTAATGCCTTTCTGACTCACACCAATCATCTGACCTCACGTGAAACATGATTTTTTTCCACTTTCACTCTCTTCCGCTCTGAGTCACATGCTGCCATGCCATGCACCTGCACATAAATTCACTCCACAGTAACCACCATTGCACCTGTGGGACATGAGTTGTGCTATAGCGCGGGGTGACCGAGAACAACCTCGAATTCTTTTGTTTGAAGGGGCTGAGCTTCAAATAAATCCTAAAAATGGTTGAAACAGCGTGTTGGTGTTTCTGTTCCAACCCTAACCCTAACCCTCGTCCCTGAAGACAAAACCAAGAGGTCGGCTTAATAAGTATCTGTGTCTGCACAGATTTAGATTTCTGAGGCTTATGCAATATCAGATGCTGATGCACGTACTGAGGAGGCGACTGGTGGGTCAGTGCTGCAGGGTGAGACAGCGGTGTGGATTATAAAATATTAAACTGGATACTGGGGATAATGGGAAGCTCTCCATGCTTTATAGATGAGCAGATGAGGAAAGGCTGAACTTGTTGCTGTACTCATCTCCTGATCTTGTTCTGCCATCTATTAATGATGTGATGGCTAACATTCAGGCGCTCTACCTTCTAGTAACGCGTACCTCTACCTGCATGCTAAGGTGTCACAGCTCGTCTCCTCAGCCTTTTCCTCACGGTGCAGATCTCCCTTCCAGCCAGCCTTATTCTTCCCGTCTCTGACCAGCCATCCGTCAGCCGATCAGCCAACACGTCTGCTGATGCAGTGGCTTGTTTCAGTGATAGATGAGGTGGGCTAAAATAGTCCACCTGCTCGCCAGGTCTGTGATGTGCCGCTCTGTTCTTCCCTCGTCCGTTTATTAATAACAGTGTCACCAGGATGTAGAAGAAAAGGAGCTGTGCTCTGGAAGCTTGGCCGTTTAGTTTACGCAGGCTGGTGCGACTTCCTGAGCTCTGACTTTCTAGGACATGCTTCAGTCTTTAATGTGCGACAAGGACGTTTTGTCATTCGAAGAAAAATGAGTGATAACCAGGAGCATGTGTTGACAAAATTAAGTCAACGAGGTATTTCCATAGCGAATTAGAAATGTCCCTGATGCTCTGGTTAGTTCGACTTTAACCAGCAGTTCTGTGTCTTTCTGAGTGGAGAAGTGACGCTTCTTATTGAATCTGATGCTGATGCTGAGTTTAAAGCCTCGCAGTCTTACTCTCTCACCTGGAGCGGTACAGCTTCAGCTACAGCGCCACACCCGATACCAAACTTTACTAGAAGTGTGTTCGGTTATTTTACGACGGACATGAAAGGGGGGGGGGGGGGGGGGGGGTCACAAAAGAGAAAATAAAATGCATTTAGTGCCAACCACATCCTGAGGGTATGTGTCAATAAAGCCCAAGTCCGTACTTGTGAGAGCACCTGTGTGTACGGTTCTATATGAGTGTTGACTGGTGAGTACGAGCGGCCACAGACCTGCCTCCAAAGACCTGTGGAAGATGGAGGAGTTCCAAAACCCAAAGATCTGGAGGAGCATGGAGATCCCAGGAAGACTGGTGCCAGAGGCGCCCCAAACCCCCTCCCGAGAGGTGCCGCGGATCACCCTGGAGGGGCTAACCAGCAGCCGTGCAACAGGCCTTGGAGATAACGGTAAGCCTCCAGACCCGCCGCAGCTGCTCACTCCAGGCAGGCAGAGCTCGAAACTCAGCGATACGTCAAACAGGTAAGTTACGTCCCCGACAGGAGGCGCTGAAACGTGAAGGAGGGGGGACATGAGAAGCATGACAGTGGGTTTAAAATAGGTTTCATTGTTCTAAAAGGTTCTAAAAACCAGTGCAAAAAGATTTATCAACTTCTGGATTTCTAAACGCCTTCATGTTCAGTAAAACTTAAACTTTTATCTGTCTTCTAACTGTTCACCTGTTTGAGAAATTTCTGCTCTGCATTATTTTAATAATGCTCTTAAAACCAGAACAGAGTTGACCTTTAAAGTCCCAACACCAGAGACCATTTAGATCATTACTCAGTCAATGTTGACATCAACAGAAGATCCCTTTGGATCAGCTCAGAGTTCAAACTTTTAAAGTTAAAACTCAAAGGGAGGGGTTTAAACCAACACGAGCCTGGAGGATGGCAGGACCCTGCACTGCTGCCTCTCAGGTGAGGGTCGTCAGAGGGATGCAGGTCAGCTGTGCTCCTCGGCAGCCCGGAGGTGTCGGGCTGATCACCGGGGCTGGGCGGTCCTGGCTTCTGCACCTGCAGAGGCTGGTGGTCAAACAAGGTTCCTGAAAGCACCAGAAGTTCCTCACAACAACAGGCTGATGCTATTTTCTGTTTGGGTTTTAGCAGAAAACGGTATGATGGACTGCTTGGGTTCAGAAGAGGACACTGGGTTTGATGTTTAGGGTTTCTCACGTTTAACGTTTACAGTTCAGCTCCTCTAACCGGTCTCCGTGTGACGGTTTAACGTGTTATTTCTGTCACGCTGTGATCTACACTAAAGAGAGCGTTGGTGTGTTTTCTCTGCTGTTGCCAGCAGGCTGATTAATACGTGAGTCGAGGCTGCAGTGAGGATCTGTTTTTCCAAAAGTAAATGATCCTGTATTTATATAACATTGTGCTCCATGATGAACATAATCCAGGGTTGTCTGGTTTAAATAATCACTCTTAGAT